AGGACGGCGACGACGACGACAACGACGACGACGCAAGAGCGCGCGCTCACGCTTTTGTTGAAAGTCCTTGTTGCGAAACCTTGGGTGTTTGTAGGTTTTTTGGACGCACGATTTTGAAATCCTTCCGAAACCGATGGGTTTTGAAGGTTTTCGGCATACGCCCGCGACGACGCGCGCGTCTGCATTTCGTTTTTTTTTTTTTGCAGAGGATTCTCGCGACGGCACACGCGCAAGGGCGTTCGACAGATTTCGACATGCGCGCGCGCGAAGCCCGCTTGGTAGCATTTTGTGAAAATCTTGAAAAACCTATGGTTTTCTTAAGATTTCGCAAGAGCTCGCGCGGAAACTTTTTTAGCAAATCAGTGTTGCGAAACCATGTGTGTATTTGTATGCTCTTTGGAAACTCGATTGCGAAATCCTTCCGGCACCGAAGGTTTTTGAAGGATTTCCGCATGCGCGCGCGACGACGCGCGCGTGTGTACTTCGTCCCCTTTTTCGCAAGGGATTCGTGTTTTGTCGCAAGGGATTAGAAAAAAGTGCTATGTTAGAACAAAAAATGCCCTGGCATAGTGTTTTTTTTTTTTTTTACCAGGGAACCTCAGGGGGGGAATCCGGTTTGGCTGGCTGACGAGTCTGCAGAATATTATATATATATATTATATATATATAGATATATATAATATATATATATGAATTCTATATATATATATTGTCCCAGGAGGACGTGTTAAGTCCGGGGGGGTGTGGGGGGGTGGAGAGTCTATTATTCTCTTTTAGAAGGGGAATTTAAGGGAGGGGGGGGGGGGGGCTTAGGGTGGTACTTAAGGGGGGGGTGTCTTAGGGGAGGTACTTAGGGGGGGTTACTTAGGGGGCGGTACTTGGGGGGGGGGGGGAGGGCGAAGGAGAGGGCCTTCCCTGAGGTCCTGGCGCCTCACTGTTTTTCCGGGCCGGGCGTTTCTCCCCACGTGCGGGCCCCTGGACCCCCGCAGATGGAGCCGGCTCGAAGAGTGGCGCAGACGCACGGGGTCCGGGGCTCCAGTCGTGTTTTTTTTGCGATGTTTCGATTTTTTACCAACCCTCCTGTGGTTGGGCACTCGTTCTGAATAGAGCAGTGTGGTCGCCCCGTCCTCCTCCTCCTCCCCTCATCTCCCCTCCTCCTCTCCTGTTTCCTGTGTTCCCCTCTTCTCTTCTCTCGTGCCGTCGGGCTTGCGATCTGCGCAGCCGTCGCCACTCTCGTGGGCTCCTGGGAGGCCCAGCGGAGGTGGGTCCCACGCGGATCACCTCGGTAGCTCGCCGCCCCCTAGGGGGCTTGCGATCTGCGCAACCGTCGCCACTTTCGTGGGCTCCCGGGAGGCCCAGCGGAGGTGGGTCCCACGCGGATCACCTCGGGAACTCGCTGCCCCCTGGGGGGCTTGCGATCTGCGCAACCGTCGCCACTTTCGTAGGCTCCTGGGAGGCCCAGCGGAAGCGGGTCCCACGCGGATCACCTTGCGATCTGCGCAACCGTCGCCACTTCCGTGGGCTCCTGGGAGGCCCAGCGGAGGTGGGTCCCACGCGGATCACCTCGGTAGCTTGCCGCCCCCAGGGGGGCTTGCGATCTGCGCAACCGTTGCCACTTTCGTGGGCTCCCGGGAGGCCTAGCGGAGGTGGGTCCCACGCGGATCACTCGGTAGCTCGCCGCCCCCAGGGGGGCTTGCGATCTGCGCAACCGTCGCCACTTTCGTGGGCTCCTGGGAGGCCCAGCGGAGGTGGGTCCCACGCGGATCACCTCGGTAGCTCGCCGCCCCCTGGGGGGCTTGCGATCTGCGCAAGTGTCGCCACTTCCGTGGGCTCCTGGGAGGCCCAGCGGAGATGGGTCCCACGCGGATCACCTCGGGACCTCGCCGCCCCCTGGGGGCCTTGCGATCTGCGCAAGTGTCATCACCCTCGTGGGCTCCTGGGAGGCCCAGCGGAGGTGGGTCCCACGCTGATCACCTCGGGACCTCGCCGCCCCCTGGGGGGCTTGCGATCTGCGCAACCGTCGCCACTTTCGTAGGCTCCTGGGAGGCCCAGCGGAGGTGGGTCCCACGCGGATCACCTCGGTAGCTTGCCGCCCCCTGGGAGGCTTGCGTTTTGCGCAACTGTCGCCACTCCCGTGGGCTCCTGGGAGGCCCAGCGGAGGTGGGTCCCACGCGGATCACCTCGGTAGCTCGCCGCCCCCTGGGGGGCTTGCGATCTGCGCAACTGTCGCGCTTCGTGGGCTCCTGGGAGGCCCAGCGGAGGTGGGTCCCACGCGGATCACCTCGGGACTCGCCGCCCCCTTGGGGGCTTGCGGTCTGCGCAACTGTCGCCACTTTCGTGGGCTCCTGGGAGGCCCAGCGGAGGTGGGTCCCACGCGGATCACCTCGGTACCTCGCCGCCCCCTTGCGATCTGCGCAACTGTCGCCACTTTCGTGGGCTCCTGGGAGGCCCAGCGGAGGTGGGTCCCACGCGGATTCGGGACCTCGATTTGCGCAACGTCGCCACTCCGGGAGGCCCAGCGGAGGTGGGTCGCGGTTCACCTCGGTTGCTCGCGCCCCTGGGGGGCTTGCGATCTGCGCAACCGTCGCCACTTTCGTGGGCTCCTGGGAGGCCCAGCGGAGGTGGGTCCCACGCGGATCACCTCGGGAACTCGCCGCCCCTTGGGAGGCTTGCGATCTGCGCAACCGTCGCCACTTTCGTGGGCTCCTGGGAGGCCCAGCGGAGGTGGGTCCCACGCGGATCACGTCGAGACATGCCCTCCCCCTGGGGGGCTTGCGATCTGCGCAACCGTCGCCACTTTCGTGGGCCCCTGGGAGGCCCAGCGGAGGTACGTCCAACGCGGACCACCTCGAGTCCTCGCCGCCCTCTGGGGGGCTTGCGATCTGCGCAACCATCGCCACTTTCGTGGGCTCCTGGGAGGCCCAGCGGAGGTACGTCCAACGCGGACCACCTCGAGACCTCGTGGCGCCTTGGGGGCTTGCGTTTTGCGCAACCGTCGCCACTTCCGTGGGCTCCTGGGAGGCTCAGCGGAAGGACGTCCCAGGCGGACCACCTCGAGACCTCGCGGCGCCATCGGGGGGGGGGTGCGATCTGCGCAACTGTCGCCACTTTCGTGGGCTCCTGGGAGGCCCAGCGGAGGTACGTCCCACGCGGACCACCTCGAGACCTCGCGGCGCCCTGGGGGGCTGCGATCTGCGCAATTGTCGCCGCTTTCGTGGGCTCCTGGGAGGTTCAGCGGAGGTACGTCCCACGCGGACCACGTCGAGACCTCGCGGCGCCCTGGGGGGCTGCGATCTGCGCAGCTGTCGCCACTTTCGTGGGCTCTTGGGAGGCCCAGCGGAGGTGGGTCCCACGCGGACCATCTCGAGAACTCGCGGCGCCCTGGGGGGCTGCGATCTGCGCAACTGTCGCCACTTTCGTGGGCTCCTGGGAGGTTCAGCGGAGGTACGTCCCACGCGGACCACGTCGAGACCTCGCGGCGCCCTGGGGGGCTGCGATCTGCGCAACTGTCGCCACTTTCGTGGGCTCCTGGGAGGCCCAGCAGAGGTACGTCTTTCGCGTTGCCGCTGCTCTTCTTGCTGCGCTCTTCTGAGTTCACTGATGGGTGCTCTACTTCCGCACTGCGGGTTTTTCAGCATGCCCGTCAGCATTGTCCCGAATGTAACCGCCACATGTATAGAAAGGGTTGGATACGTCGCAGGGTAATTGAGCGGTCGGATCTCAGGGTTTTCAGAAGGCAGCGGGACTTCTCAGAAGTCCTCGCGCCTTCTGAGAAGGGTTCTGTGTCTTCGGGGAAGACCCAGAAGACTTCTCAGGAGGCCAGAGGACTTCCGAGCCTTCTGAGAAGGCCCGCCCCTTTTTCACTTCCCCCCGGGAGTTGCCGCCGAGGAGCGATTCTTTGGAGCGCCGCTGCTTTTTAGATGGCGCGGGACTTGTCTGTAAATGTTGGGCCGGCGCCTTCTGAGAAGCAGCCTTCTTCTGATTCGCGCCGGCGGCGTCGCGTCTGGGAAAACGTAGGCTTGGCCAATTTCCACACGGCGCTGGCGCGAGTCGTGACGTGACCACAGTGGGGGAGGGCGGGGCCAGTCACGGACGTCATCGCGAATAACAGACAAACAGGACCTTCTGCCTGGAGCCCTCTTGATGATGGCGGCTTGGGGCCACCAGTGCGCGGAAGCCGTGGAGGCGCTGCCAGAGTGGGTCCCTTGGGGCCTCTGGCACCACCCCCTGCGCACCCCCCCGCTCGGAGCGGCGGGCGAAGTACTCCAGCTTGCAGAGGGTTGTGCTGGGGGGGGGGGGTCGGACGGGCCCAGGAATAGAGATAAATTCGTTCCAGAGCGCTTCTGAGCGCTTTCCGAGAGTTCCGGAACGCTCCGAGAAGGCCGCGGCGCCCGATGCATCCTCCAGAGCCGCGGGATCTCAGGGATTCTCGATTTATGCCCTGACCCGATGATATCCTCGTCCTGGCTTCGTCTTGAGGGGGGGCCCCTTCGAAGATACCTCCAAGCTCCCCGGACTTTCCCACACCTTCACGGCTCCAGGGGATCCCCCCCAAGAAGCAATAGGCAATGCCTCACGGGCTTCCCCCCTCCAGCCCAGAGGAGCCTTTCTTCCAGTTTTCCCAGGCCCCCCCCCTCCCACTATCTCCTGAGGCTTCTCATTCCGAGACCTCTAGACTTCTTTCCGATGTCACTCTGGGCTTCCCAGTGCTTCTGGACCCACCGGAACCTCCCAGTGCCCCCCCTCGAAATCCTCCTCTCCTTTCTCCCTCTCCCGATTCCTCCCCCTCCCTCCTCTTTCCCCCTCCCCCTCCATAGTCGCTTTGGCTCTCACACTTGACCGCGCCAGCCTGCGCCTCCTCGCGTCCTGATCTCGTTCACGCCTCTGGCAAGATGGCCACCATTCTCGGAATGGGCAACCCGCTGCTCGACATCTCCGCCAACGCCGATGCAGCGATGTTTGAGAAGTACGGCCTGGAGCCGGGCGGCATCATCCTGGCCGAGGAGAGGCATGCGCCCGTGTACGAGGAGCTGCAGGCCAGGCCAGACGTGAAGTACATCGCGGGCGGCGCCACGCAGAACAGCATCCGGGTGGCGCAGTGGATGCTCCAGGAGGAGGGCGCCACCGCCTACATGGGGTGCGTCGGCAAGGACGACAACGCCACGAAACTCCTGGACGCGTGCGTTGCCGACGGAGTCAGCGCTCGGTATATGGAGGACGCCTCGACCCCGACGGGCCTCTGCGCTTGCCTCATCATGGACAAGGAGAGATCGCTGTGCACCAGCCTGGGTGCGGCCAACAACTACAAGGTGGAGCACGTCAAGCAGCCGCAGAACTGGGCGATCGTCGAACGCGCGAGGATCATGTACAGCGCCGGCTTCTTCATCACAGTATCCCCGGATGCCATCGAGGCGGTCTCCACGCACACCCGGGAGTCGGGTGCTATCTACTGCCTGAATTTGTCGGCACCGTTCATCGTGCAGGTGCCGCCGTTCCGCGCCTGTCTCCAGAAGACGTTGCCCGATGTGGACTACCTCTTCGGCAACGAGACGGAGGCGCGTGCCCACGCGGAGGCCTGCGGCTGGGACACCGACAGCGTCGAGTTTATCGCCACTCGGCTCTCGCTGATCTCGATGAACGAGAAGGCCGGCAAGACGAGGAAGCGCCACGTGGTCATCACGCAGGGAAGCGAGCCTACGGTGGTGGCCCTCAACGGCAAGGTGACCCTCTATCCGATTATCAAGCTGGACCCCAGGAAGATAGTCGACACCAACGGCGCTGGCGACGCCTTCGTGGGCGGCTTCCTCGCCGCGCTGTCCAAGGGCAAGGACGTCAAGGCGTGCTGCGAGGCGGGCAATTACTCCGCTTCAGTCATTATCCAGCACTCTGGCTGCACCTACCCGGCCAAGCCTGATTATTCATTCGAGCCCTCCTCCTGCTCGTTGTTGTAGGTTTTCTCGCGAGGGATCCCTCCAAGTGGACCTGTAGAGAACTCGCGCGCTGTCGCTGGTTGTGGCTGAGTTTTCGGCCGTTGAGCATCCCGCGTGTGAGGACCCCGCCTACCCCTCCTCCTGCGATGCCGCCCGAGGGAAAGGCTAAAACTCCTCAGCGCAAACGCATATTCTGAAGACTGGGAGCCGACTTTTTCCCACCAGCCCTGCGGACCTTGTTGGGGTCGCGCTCAGCTGCCGTGCGAGATTCAACTGCCTGCGGCAAGCTCCCTTCTCCTTGTGCCTGCGCAGGAGACGCTCCTCATCCTCTCGCCGCCTACCGTGCCCACTTCGGCCACGTGCATCCCACGTCTGCCTTTGAACTTGTCGAGGACTCTTCTGCTGCGACAACAAAGTGCCGGCGCAGCAACCGGAATCACGCAGGACGGGCCTACCAGTTTCTTCGGGCAGGTTCAGTATAGAACCTTCCTGTGGCTGTCTGGAGAGCACTGCTCCAGGTGGCGAGGCGTAGCTTTGTGTGGTTGTGGCCTTGCCTCTTTTGGCGCTTCTCGGAGACGTCTGAGGAGCGTCGGGCGGTCTCTTCGGGGCATTCTTGTCGATTCTTGGAGGCTTCTGGGAGGCCCCGTGGGTTGGGGCATCTTGCGCGCGATGATGATTCGAAGCTGTCCTGGAGAGTAGAAGCCTCCTGACACTGTCTGGACGAGTCTTTGGCCTTGAGGCCGTCTCGGAGCTCTTTTCCAGCGGTCTGGGTCCGCCCTGGGAGATGAACGCGTCGTCTTGGTGCTCTCTTGGGGCCTGTTGGGACCATCTTGGAGATCCTGGATCTTTCTGAAAGCTTCTGAATGTCATCTTGGGCGAATACTTGGGAAGCAACCGAATTTGCGTTTCCAATGGTTTCGTTTCAATGGTTTGGCCTCCAGGGGCCTTGGGTTAAGAGGGCTCCTTGGGCACATCTGGTGGGCTGTCTGTGGACCTGTCATGGCGTCTTTGGGACAGCTTGAGGCCTCCGGGGGAGTTTTGTTGGCCGCCTCAGGGCCTCCGTCGTGGAGTGCTGAGGCCGTCTTGGGGCAGGCTTTGGCCGTCGTGGGGCCGCGAGGAGAGCGCGGGTTCTTGCAACACTCGGGGGCTCAGCTTCCGGAAGGATCGTGCGATGAGCCCTGCCAGCCCGCCGGCAGGTATCCGAACCTTTGGCATCCGAGCCTTGTGGGCATCCTAACATTTTAATTCACTGCCAGAACGGTTAGAGTGTCCATTGCCATGGCATCCACAATCCTGACAAGGTCCAGCTTGCCGTTGTCACGGTGGCGGATGTCCAGGTCTGCATTTTGCCCCCGCCTCTGCCCAGATCCGCGGGCCCCGCCATCTGCGGGGCCTGCGCGTTAGACGGCAGGCATGCGACACGCACGTTGAGAGGCGGAACCAAACAGCTCCCCTCCTCCTCCTCCTCCTCCTCCTCCTCCTCCTCCTCCTCCGCGTTTTTTGTTGGTGATCTCCTTCGAAGCCCTTTCGAGCCCGCCCAACGAAGCCTCACAGGGTTCCCCGCCCGAGGCCCGCACACGGCGCTCGCCATTTGTGCGGGGGAGGAGGAGGAGGAGGAGGAGGAGGAGGAGGAGGAGGGGGAGGAGGAGGAGGAGGAGGAGGAGGAGGAGGAGGAGGAGGAGGAGGAGGAGGAGGAGAGGGATGGACATGAGGCCGAGGATGCGGCTGCGGAGGCGGAGGTGGAGGAGGAGGAGGAGGAGGAGGAGGAGGAGGAGGAGGATTTTCTCCTTACCCCCCCCTGTGGGCCATTCTTGTCACCGCTTCAAGCTCGGCTCGTATCGTCGCAGACTCGGGGGTTGGGTCGGGATTGGGGCTGGGAGGGTCCAGCCAGGGGCGCCCGGAGGCTGCGGGAGGCACAGAGGATGTGAATAGGAACGCCCAGGGATGTCCAGGTTCCCAAGGTTCGAGCGTCTGGGGCCTTAAAACCGCATGCGCAACACAAGAGTACAGTAGGCACGTCACATAAGACATCGGCTTGTCAGCAGGTGCCCCATGATCGCGTAGAGAGGTCTGGGCGGAAGCAGGGCAGTATTCACGACCTTCACGGCGACCTTTAGGCCCGTGCGGACACGCTGGCGGACTTCTTGTCGGAGGTTCAGTGGGCAGAGAGGGAAACCACGCTGATGCTGACGACGCCCCCTGGACCCGACTTGCCGGTGAACTTGTGGCAGATCGAGGAGTTCGAGGTGACCGAGGCAACCAAACGCATGGAGTGTGGCAGAGCGTGTGGAAGTGAGGGCATCCCCGGCGACTTTTGGAAAGCGGCCTGCGCACGCGACTCTCTAGCGAGAGCGTGGGCCTAAGCACTGTGACGGCGGTGCTGGGACCAGGGCGCCGTGCCAGGATTCTTGGCACAATTCCTCAGTGATTGCTTCAGCCAAGAAGGGAGACGCTGCGCTCTGGGGCAACTACAGACCCGCGTGCCTGCTCCAGGCTGGGTCCAAGTTGTTTGCGATTCCCTCCCATGCCGTTAAAAAACGCTGGCGCCGAGGGCCGCATCTGGGGCACCCAGTTTGGCTTCAAATCGCGCCACGCACCACGGACGCCATTCTCCTTACCAGGCGATGGCTGGAGGCAACGTAAGCGAGCACAGATGGTCAGTTCGTGCTTCTCGCTTCGGACTGTACCAAGTTTACTCCCAAAGCGTCGGTGACACACGGCACTATCATTACGCGTAAGTCGGCACTCCCATTCTTCTTGCCGTCCTCCCCCAGTACTGGCCCGCCATCTGCCCTCTGCTCCTCTGTTTTGTACTCCTGCTCCTGAGGAGGAGGAGGTGGAGGAACAGGAGGAGGAGGAGGAGGAGGAGGAGGATCATAATGATGAGGAGGAGGGGGAGGAGGAGGAGGAGACGGGTGGAGCCCCGCAGCGCAATGACCAGGCGCTCGAGATGTATGGCGCGTTTTGTTTCGTGTGTCGGGTCGCTTTTGTGCTGACGAAGCCAGATGGCGGCTACAGGCCGATAGGTACCCTCGCGACGGCGATCCGTGTCATTGCTCGGTTTCGTAGGCATGAAACAGCAGCATGGACGCGCTACGATCAGCCTAAATGCATCTATGGGTCCAATGACAAAAGCTGCGAGCGAACGAGATGGCAGCAAGCAGCAGCATGTGAATCAGCAAAAGCAACAGCACCAGCACTCATCGACATGTAAACATCATATGAAACGAAGGTTTCGCACGATGTGTTGCGGCACGCGTGTGTGAAGCATAAGTGAAACCTTCGTCGGGTTCGTTTGCCTCTCATGGTGTATGGTGTCGCGCGTCGGCTTAATGTACGTGCGATCGTTTCGAATATATAGAGCACATCTCGGGATCTGTTATTGCAGGCTGCTCTTTCGCAATTATGTTTCCGCGCGTGATTCCTCACGACTCCTTCGAGTACATGCCGAGCAGATGGATTCGTTTGGGCTGGGTGTGACGGTGGATGACATCACCGTCAAGGCGATCGGTCCCATGCGCAATGCGGAACTTCGTCTCACCCAGGCTGTCCCAGATTTGCGCGAGAGACTTGAGAAGGCAAGCTTGGCCACTTTCGGGAAAACATGGGCATATAGATGCGTCCGACGACGACGTTCTATGCGGTTGCAGAAGGCCTTGCCAAGATCTTGGCTTCGTGCATGCACTACGCTGATGTGGGAATATGTCAGGCATGATTTAGGAACGCGAGCAAGGAAAAGCTAGATGACGTTGAAGCAGCGTGTTTGTGCCATTAGGAAGAGAGCGGACCGATTCCGAGCTATGAAGCATCATCGTCGGGGGCTGAAGCGCGTATTCCGGCAGGTGGAGGAGCAGCAGCAACATATGGGGTTCGAATGCAAGGCAAGTCCAGCTCGGACCTGTCCCAGTTGCGACCCATGGCATCTGCTGCTCTGCGTGGGAAAGCCAAGGGACGTTCTCGTGCGGCGCAGTACTTGCTCCCGGATTTTCCCGACTTCGACCCTGTTTTTGTTGTCAACACGTTCCTCTGGTTACAGAACACACCGCACAGCACCAAGAGTGGTTACCCCGGCGAACGCTTTCATCAATCTTCGAGGTTGCGACATCTTCGTCGGCAGCTGGGTGGATTTCGTTGATGGGACTGGCTGGCGCGGTCGTCCAGACCCTCGAGCGCATAGGCTGGGCAGCAGTAGATGTTGCTAAGTGGCGGGGCTCTCAGGGCCTCTTGGTGAGCCTCTTTAACGTAGGCCTCCAGACCCCCAAGAGCCTCGTACACAGTAGCCTCCGATGGTCCCAAGAGCTCCACGCCCAAAAGCATATTGTATCCGATAGTACACCAGACTACAAGCCGATCAAGCATGAGCGTCAGCGCATGATGGGACGGGGTGAGCATATCCAATAATATTGTGTCGTAGCATATTTCGCTGGTGTCCTCTGGACCCAGAGCAAGCTTTATGGTGAATGGTACTTCCTTACCAATGTATGTCGGTGGTGTGTAGCTCAGGCAGGCATTGTTCGACGCCGGGTGTATGCGGCGGTCAAGATGCATCGCGGCGCGACTGGTTTGAATGTGTTGATTGACATCAGTCGGGGAGCAGGAGATTGTCCACTGACCGAATACGATGCCGCAGGCAGTGGTCGGGATGGCATTCATCCGCCTCTCGTGGGGCCCGAATCAGGAGATGTTATCGTGGAGCGGTCGGGGCCCAGGGGGCATCTCGGCTTGGTGATTTTCATTGTTCGGGTTTGGATACAGATGTCGGGTGGCAGACGAGATCGAGGTGGTTTGTGTATCTCAATGGTTCCAGTATCCCGTGAAGCAGGTCTTGTGTGCTATGGGCCGACGTTTGGTGCCGTGAGAAGCTCGGGCTTTGCCGAGCATTCCGTTGTCTATCTGGCGCTGTGCCTCATGGGTCCGCAGGCGACGGTCATCGCTTGTCAAAAGAACTTCTTGTTGCCCTTGGAGACGGGAGCTGATATAATGCGTGGGCCATCCCAGCCCGACTTTTGATATATTGGAGGCAGGTGTTCTCGAACATTTCAAACGCTGGGCTGCAAAACCTTGAGTTGGTCTGGATGCCAATGCACAAGTCAAGGGCCTGGTTGAGTAGGAACGATTCCCAACCCCATTTTCTTCCGGGGAAATCCAAGGCCGATAGGTACGCCAAGCTTTGAGCCATGGGTCACCCCTCCAACCCACGTAGTTTCGAGCGCCTAAGGGCCTTTGCAGTGTTTGGGATTCACTTTGTGCGTCTCCTGGCAAGTGTACTGTATACCCTGTGCAGGATTGGTTTTCCAGATGTGGAAGGCATGCCAAAGGCCCAGAAGATGCCTTACAAGCGTTTCAGTAGCGGGATGTGTCGGGTGTGCTCTAAGAATCGTTGAGGGGGGATCATGGACACCTCCATCACAAAGACGGAGACAAGTGGGGCTGTTGGTTGTGTGGCCAGATCACTCCTGGAAGGAATCGTGCCACCAGCCAGCCGTGCCCAGGCACACCGAGAATAATTGCAAGAGTCCGCCAAACGCATAGGATGTGGGTGTGTGGGCGCACGCAGTTCTGTCCCCGTTGCGGGAAGTACGGCGCTGGCCCGGTGAAGGGCCTGATCAGGGAATGCCCCCCCCCCGCTGGGACAGGCGAGTGGGGCAGGAGCGGTTTGAAGGAACCCAGGAAGGGGAAGGCCCCAACCAGTAAAACATTGGTGTGTACCCCCTTCCCAGTCCACTAAGCCCCTTGTCCATTGCAGGCTATTTTTCATTCGTGAGGGATAGACTTGTCCGAGGCTCCAGAGGCTCCAAAGGCTCGAGAGGCTCCAGAGGAGGAGGGGGAAGAGGGGGAGGAGGAGGAGGAGGAGGAGGAGGAGGAGGAGGAGGAAGAGGAGGAAGAGAATGGGCGGGAGGAGGATGGGCGGGAGGAGGATGAGGAGGAAGAGGAGGAGGAGGAGGAGGAGGAGGAGGAGGAGGAGGAAGAGGAGGAGGAGGAGGAGGAGGAGCAGGGAGAGGATGCGCGGGTGGAGGATGGGCGGGATGAGGATGGACGGGAGGAGAAGGAGGAGGAGGAGGAGGAAGAAGAAGAGGAGGAGGAAGAGGCAGAGGAGGATGAGGAGGAGGAGGAGGCAGAAGAAGAAGAGGTCGAGCCTGGGCCTCACCGCGAGCACGCTCCCAAAGGTCGCGCACGGGGCCGAGGTCTGCATCCACGCGGAGGGCTTCGAGGCGACGCTGAACCGCCCCCAGGAACGATGGGCCCGCGGTGCCCTTGGAGTGCGTGGTCCCATCCCGCGAGCCCTCCTCCTACGCCACATGGGGTGGAACGTGCGGTGGGCAACGACGATGGAGGAGCGCGCCATACGCCTATAGACCAGGCTCCAGGCGGACCCAAGGTATGCCGAGGCCAAGCGCGCTCTCGCTCTGGCGGAGCAGGCGGAGGGGTCCTGGATGCGGCGTGTCCGCCAGCTCCTGCATCAGTGGGGCCTCCCGGACCTGCCAGGGCCGCAGGCGGGGCCAGGGGCCCGCGCCCAGTATTTCGACCTCGTGAAAGCTGCGGCGCAACGGCGGGAGTAGGCGTGGCTAGCGAGCCCAGCCCAGCGCAGCGGGAGGCGCTGACGCGCGGGGCGGGCGTGGGGTGCACGGCGCTCGAGCACAGCATCGCCGGCGCCTCGCTCCCCCAGGTACGCGCGTGGGCCCGCCTGCGCCAGCAGGGCGTCTTCTCCTGTGACGAGGCCGGCGTCGCCAGGCCGTGCCGCCTCTGCGGCCAGTCGCAGGAGACGTCGGCCCGCCTCCTGAGCTTCTGTGGGGGCGCCGCGCAGGCGCTCCGCCGCCAGCCTTAGCGAGGAGGCGGCCTCACGCCGCAGGAGACGCGCCGGCTGGAAGCTGCACTCCAGGCGCAGTAGGCCATGCCGGAGCGGACAGGTGCAACCCCCACCCACGCCGAACCCGAGTGCGGGTCCTGCTTGGGCCCGCCGCCGTCCTGGCCCCGCCCCCGGCCGTGGGTCCTCGGCCTGGCCCCTGCCCTCCCCCGCTGCCCCGTGCGTCTGCTGTCCCTCCTGCCCTGGGGCCGCCCCTCCGCCCGGCCCCCCCTCTGGCCCTGCCTGCCCCCTCCGCGGCGTCATCCTGCACCTTTCCGCTCCGGGCCGAGTACCCACCGTGCACAGCAACCCGCCCCCAGCGGGGCTGCTGGGGGTTGCCCCCGCGCGGCACTCCACCTGCTTTGCGCAGGGGGGGGCCGCCCAGAGGGGCCCCTCCCCGGGGGCATGGAAGGCGGGCGCCCCCCGCATAGCGTCGGGCGTCACCCTCCCTGCGCCCCGGCCGTGGGGAGGGAAGCCGCGCAGCAGGCAGCTGTCCGCGGGGTGAAAAGGGCCGCGCCCAGCGGCCCGCCGGCCGCGGCGCCGCGCGGAGCGGCGTCGCCAAGCGGCTCGGAAGGAAAAGGAAGAAGGAGGAGGACGAGGAAGAGGAGGAGGAGGAGGAGGAGGAGGAGGAGGAGGAGGAGGAGGAGGAGGAGGAGGAGGAAATGGAGGAAAAGGAGGAAAAGGAGGACAAGAAGGAGGAAAAGGAGGAGGAGGGAGTGGGGGGGAGGAGGAACTGGAGGAGGAGGGGACGGAGGAGCAGAAGGAAGGGCAGGAGCAGCAGGAGGAGGAGCATCCTCTCTCCCCCGGACCAAACCCCCCCAGCGGGCCAAGGCCGCCAGCGGGCGCCTCCGCCGGTCCGCGGCCGGCCGCCGCCTTGCGCTTGGGCCCTCCTCGCCTCCTCGCCCTGCGCGCCTCTCCTCCGCCCCTCCTCCTTTCCTTCCTCCTCGCCATCTCGCCTTCCTCGTTCTCCTCGCCCTCCTCGCCCCCCCCGTCCTCCTCGGCCCTCGTTCGCGTTCCGCCCGCCTCCGTCCCCTCATCGCCCTCCGTCCCCTTCATCTGATTCCAGTTGCTCTGGTCGTGCTGTAAAGGGGTGCTTAAAGAATGGGGTGCTCCTGGAGCCTGGGCCGTCTCACGTCTGAAATGATTCACTTGAAACACGGTTTAGACGACCTGCTCTGATCCGTAAACTTACGGCTCAAATTTGTTCAGGGTCCACCTGCCTCTTCTCCTCCTCCACTTCCAGCTGGGGGTAAGTGTCCTAGCAGCACGTACAGTCCACAATTGTCTGACCTGCTCGGCCCCAGTTTTTAACAGGCGATGCTCCAAAGGTAGCATCTTCATCTGGTTCCAGTTGCTCTGGTCGTAGTGGGAAGGATATATACATGTATGTATAGCACATGATCGGGCACACCGTTTAGCTCACACCATGTGTACATATATATATATATATACACAGTACACAGCATAGCTCACGCCACATGTATTACACAGGATAGCTCACACCATATAGCTCACGCCAAGCATCTACAGCATCTCTTTCACCACATTGTTTACACTGCATAGTTTTCACCACGTAGCTCACACAACATAGCTTACACTTCAAAGTGTACACATCATTTTTCCCACCTTCACAGTTCAATAAGTCATTGTTTGGAGTCTACGCTGGCTAACATGCCGTCCCTCCCTTCCTTATGGGTGCAAATTCGCCCACCTTCGGTCACCCTGTCGAGTTGCTCGCTGCGGCAGGCGAATTGCTTTTCGCAGCATTGTCTGGAAACGAGGCCTTTTACCTGATCGTATTTCTGGAGCTGGGCCTCTCCGGGTATGTCTACGATCCTCGTGGCACCACTGACAGCGCAGGCGTGTTAGAGCCAGTCGTTCCTTCTGATATGTTGCTGAATGCGGAGACAGGCCACCTGCTGAGAGATGACTGTCGCCTCAGCTTCTGCACGCACAAGATCATGAGCAAGCTGGCTAGGGCACAAGGCTGCCATGTAGTCTACTCGTGTCTCGAGGCCGTGACTTCTCTGCTCAGCACTGACACGGCAGGCATCGAAATGAAGTCGTATTGGATCCAAGCGTGGCTGTCGTCAGTGTGTATCGCAAGCATGCGCTCTTGGGACCAGATCTGAATTGGGCAGATCCGGGTATCACCTTGGTGGGCGTCGTGGAGACCAGGACAAGGGTCATTGGGGAGAGTCTCAGAGGCGGCCTGGGAACATACCTTTGCAGCATTGGAACCGCAAGTGGGAACACGCAGCACCTCCATTCAGATAGCTGGCCGCTATCCGTCTGCCAGCTGCAAGCGCCGCCACTGCCAGCGCAGCAGTGCAGAAGCGCAGCAGTAATTACTCAGGAGGGAAAAAAAAACACAGACACAATGAATCGTCGATTCCCCAGAAAATATAGGAAAATATGGGAAGTGGGTGGGAAGACAGAAACCCAGAAAATATTGGAAACTATGGGGAATATTTTGATTTGTGTGTATTTAGTTGTGTGTCCCAGGGCCCCTTCAATTACGTTTGCCTCAAGACCCGCTCAAGTTCAGGCAGGGTCGGCCCGTTTCCCTGGCTGGGCCGGACCAATCCCGAGTCCAGGACCGATGGGCCGCCCCGGGGGCCCGTCGAGGGTAGCCTGGGCCATTTCCGGCGGCTGTCTGTGCCTCGGCATCGCTCGGGCGCGTGCTTTTTTTTTTGTTCCTCGGCGAGGGCCCTCGAGGAGCATCCTGGATCATCGAGCAAAAAACAGACACGACACCGAAGACTGCACGGGAGGAATGGGCGTGCGAGCGACGGCAAGGTGCGCAGCCTCAAGCTTCCATGGCAGGGTGGGAGGGGAGGGAGTGCAGACCGTCTTGCCCTGCGCGAGCGTCGGGCAGGGGCCCGCTGTGTCTGGCGGGTATGGATCTACAAGATGTGAAGATCGGAGCCCTGACGGGCCTCTTTTTGGGGTGCGCTGTGCCTTCTTCGGGCCGTCCCGATGCTTGAGGCGCCCATCGGAAGCGGAAAGGCTAGAAGGTAAGTACAAACCCACCGAGCTCCTCACGGTGGTCAATGACTTCGGCCTCTGGGCGGCATCCGTGGGGGGGGTCCAGGTGTCGCGTGCTCGTGCGTTCCTGCTCGTGCTCCCGCTGCTCCGCAGCCTCGGACTCGGACACCCGTGGCAGAATACCAACTTGCAAGCTCGGTGCACATGCGGCACCACCTCGATACTCCAGATTTCGTAATAAAAGGGAGGGGGTCTGGACCCTCCAAGACAAGCCATTTCAGACCCCCCCCCGTGGGAGAACCTTCCAAAACATCGTCCCCAGACCCCCCCAGGCCCTCCAAGATAGCCTGGAAGAGACCCCCCCCGAAATGAGACCCCCCTCCCTTTATTACGAAATCTGGAGTATGCGGCACCACCTCGATATACTTCGTCCGTGTGTGCGTCGGCCCTCAAGGGGCGACGCGCGCGTTCATACATTTTGCAGACTAGGCTCGGTGGCGGGCATGTCTAGCCAGATCCCTCGGGCAAGTCTACACTATTACATGTCTGCGCCACATGTCCGGTTCGGACGTGCTTCTCCCCGCGGGGGGCGCAGAGTACTAGTATGTTCGTATGCGTCCCGTCGGTGTTCGGCCCGGGCAGCGCCCCACCGGCTAGACTGAACCCTGGGAGGATTTGCTACGAAGTCGGCGGGAAGCGTGAGACTTCCTGCTGACGCTCCTCCTCCTCCTCCTCCTCCTCCTCCTCCTCCTCCTCCTCCTCCTCCGTAGCCATTTTGGCCCCAGCACCGTGCGCGCCCCCGCGCGGAGCCCTGCGATGGCGCGGCGGCGGGCGGACCGAACCCGCATCCACTCGTCCGCGTAGCGGACTCCGGGCACGCCGCGTCGGCGGCCCTGCCTCGGCCTCGCTGGTGGCGGGCCCTGCCTCGGCCTCTTGCCGACATGCGGGCGGGGCGGGCGGCGTGCGCCCTCGGCGCCCTCCTGGCCGCGGACGCGCGGCTCGCGGCGCAGCGTCGGGGCGCCGCGCGCGGCACCGCCGGCCGCAGCACCTGGAGCGGCGCCAGCGGCCATGTCGGGGGCAACGATGGGGGGGGATGGGCGTAGGGGTCCGAGGAGAAAAAGGTACCCATACCTCTACCCTTCGCCTGTTTTCCCGCTTTGGGCCTCCTGGGAGGCCCTCGTCGCCACCGCTGGATTCGCCTCGAAATTCTGGTCAGAACGCACCCCGGGAGAGGTCCAGGGAGTAGCGGTATCGGTACCTTTTGGTTTCCCGAAGGGGGGGACGCATCGATCCCCAATCGCCCATTGATCGCCGACAGGGGCCCGATCGTCCCACCCCACCCAGGAAGGTGCGGACTCGCTGTCGGGGGCCCATCGCCGATCTATTGGCGACGTATCGCCGATTCCAGGTCGATGCGCCCCCCCCTAATTCTGCGTATCCCCCCCTTTCGTTGCCCCCCACAGTGGAGCAGGGGAGGTGATCCACTTCGTCGCTGACGTCTTCGACCCCTTGGCGGGAGGCTGGCCTGCCGCCTCGTCCGCCAGCGGGCCCGCCGGGGCCGTGCACCTGATCGCGGGCGTGGGCGACCCCGCCGAGGCGGCGCCAGCCCAGCTGACGCAGCGCGAGACGCTCGAGGGGACGGCGGAAGCCGCGGCGTCTGGCGTCGCCAAGATGGTGTTCGGCCTGCTATTCGTGGACATCGCGGTGCCCGTCCACTGGTTCAACGAGGAGCGCAGCGCGAGGCTCCACGCGCTGCTGGTGCACGGGCGCAGCCAGTGCGTCAGCCTGAGTGATGGCGAGCCGAAGGAGAGCAACCGTGGCCGCCTGGTGCACGTGCAGGGCAGGGCGAAGGGCGTGGTGCCCCTCGCCGACCACCAGTTCCCCGACGCCGAGGTGAAGGGTGCCCTGAAGCTGCAGAGCACTGTGGAGGTGTACGAGTGGACCCAGCGCCTCAAGACTTGGATGGAGGGCCCGCACAGAAAGACGCAGCCCCGTTTCCAGCAGGAGTGGACGACGGCCCACGTCGACACGCGGGCCTTCATGGGGCCCAGCCCGGAGAACCCGCGCCTTCCGGCCGGGCTCGCCCTGGGCACCACCACCCGGGCGTGCCCCCGGGTGCAGCTCGGGGGCTTCGTGCTGACGGAGGACATGGTCGGGCACCTGCGCCAGTTCGAGCCGGCGATGCCGCACCTGCCAGACACGCTCACCGCACACGTGCCCAGCAACCTCGTGTTCTTTGCGGACCGCCAGGATGGCTACTACTACGCGCGGCCCAGCGCCGGCCCAGGGGCGGCCCGGAGAGGCCCGCGGCCCTTCACCGGCCACCAGGTGGGGGACATCCGTGTGCGATTCATGTACGCGCCGGAGACCGACGCCACGGTTGTGGGGGTGCAGTGCCAGAAGGACGGCTGCGACAGCTTCGTGCCCTTCCGCCCCATCTCGCGTCCGCCGTGGGTGCAGGGGGACAGCGAGCGCCAGAAGCTCATCGAGGAGGGCGACAGGCCCCTCAGGGAGCTGCGGCGCGAGGCCTCCTGCTGCTGCACCGGCGGCGTGGCGTCGTGCTGTTTCTGCACCTGCGGCGCCATCGCGCACTGCTGCCAGGAGGAGGTCATCACCGAGGAGATCTTCCACGTTTCGGGCCAGCTGTGCCCCAAGGAGAAGGCCTTCGAGCACGTCGTCCAGCGGAACCCGTGCCGCGTCTGGAACTTCCGCTTGCTCGGGTCGTGCATCATGTTTTGGGGCGTCGGCATGATCATGGGGCCTTTGCAGGGGCCAGTGTTGGGTTCTTTGGGCGCGATTGGTGCCCACGTCAACCTCACCCTCTTGACCGTGGTCGTTGCGCTCGCAGTCCACGCGCTCATCGTCGCGGTTGCCTATTCGTGCTACCACCCGCTTGCGGCGTTCCAGTGGTATTGCGTGGCGGCGGCCACCCTGGCCGCGCCCTTCGTGGTGGGCGAGCTCGCGTGAGCAGGCCAGCCTCGCGCGTTTTGGCCGAGGCTTCGGGCGCCGTCGTCGCCAGGCGGGCCGGGAGGGAGGAGCCAGTGTCCTCGTGGAGAGTTTGGACGCCTGAATTGGGCACGGAAATCATGGGTACAATGCCCACAGCAAATGTTGTCCCGAACCAACAGCGGCCGCTGTTGGGCAGGCGGCCTCCTGTCTCAACTGGACACAGGCCGCGGCGGCGCGGACAGTGAGCCCTGTTCAAAATGAACGATAACTGCTGTTGGGCATCGTACCCATTCTTTCCGTACCCATTTTCGGGCGTCCAAATCGAGAGCCTGTGGCCGGCTGGCTAGCCTCGCGCGCTTTGGCCGAGGCTGCGGGGAGCCGTCGTCGCCGGGCTGGGTGCTCCTCCCTCTCCTTCACCTCTTTCTCCTACCACTTCCCCTCCTGCGGTTGCGTGGTGCTCTGCTTTGGTGGGCGTAGGCGCCGCCGGACGGTGGTCATCCACATAGACGAGCTCAAGATGCCGCGTCGACCAGAGGACTCCGGGGGGGCGCTTGCCAGGAGGAGGAGGAGGAGGAGATCGGGGTGGAAGAATTGGGGGGCAGGCGAAGGCGGAAAAGGAGGAGGAGGGCGGGGGAAGCGGAGGGATGAGGGGGGTGGACCTGTTTGGCCTCGCCCCCTCCCCGCCCCCGCGTGGCCGCGGCCTGACGAAGTTCAAAGGAATGCCAGGGTGGTGCCTGGGAGGGGTCCAGGAAGTGGTTTCGAGTGGAAGCTGACCAGGGGGAGGAGCTCGGCCTCCCGCGGGGGCGCAAGGATGATCAGCCGCGCTTCACTGTCTGGGTCGGAGTGGTTCACTCGTCTCCAGAGGGCGGTGTGAGGGCACAGGTCCCAGAGGTCCCCAGACAGAGGTCCCCAGAGCCGCGCTTGGCACAGGTCTCCAGAGGTCCCCAGAGGTCCCCTGCAGGTGTTTCAGGGGGGGGTCCATGCAGATGCTTCTGGAGGCCTCTTAAGGGCTCTGGAGGTCCGACATGTCTCACAACGTTCAAAGGCTAGATTCTTGGACCCTCGAACCTCGAACCTCGGATCGCCCATCCACTGCCGCATTTGGACGTGGCTGCCCCACACTGCTCTTCGAGGAGCGGTCCTCCAAGAATGCTTGAGATCGAGCGTCCCTACTTGTGCTGTGAGGAAATCGGGCGGGGCTATGACGAGGATAAATCCGTTCCAGGGCGTTTTGGAGCGCTCTCAGAGCGTTTCGGAACGCTCTGAGAAGGCCGCGGCGCCCCAGACATCCTCCAGAGCCGCCAGATCTCAGAGCTTCTCGATTTTTCCTCACTCGATTTTGCCCTTGTCCTGACTTCGTCTTACTCTGGGTTGCGCCTTTGGCCCTTCCGGGCTGGTGCTCTTTGCACGTTCGTGCGCTGGTGCCCCGTGGTCGTCCGGCCGTTCCTCGCCGGTGCCCTCTAGCTGGCGCCGTATGTGCGTTGGGGCGTATGGTCTGGTGTTTGTTGCGCAGTCGGCCGTTCCCGGTCAGTGCCCCTACAGTGGAAACCCATGCCACGAAACACCCCGCTTGCCTCCAGGGTGCCTTGGATTTTTTGGGCTTCGATGGTTTCGCTATTGAGAGCGTGACGTTCCCACACCGAAAGTCAATGGACGTCCTGGGGTCTCAGGGCTGGGTTTCTTGTGGAAGGGTTCTTGTGGTCGAGCTCCTACTGTATGGTCGTGCCCTGTGCTTGTGGTGGCTTATGGTGCTCTATGGTTGGCGCCCTACGGTTTGTTCTCTGTGCCTGTTGCGCCCTGGTTGGTGTCCCTGTGTGCCTCACATTGAGTCATGTGCTGGGGTCCACGTGCTGGCACCCTGTGCGTTGCACAGGCACGCGCATGTGCATATATATATATATATACATACATGTATAAATATGTGTGACATATATATATATATATATATATCGCAGCGCACGGACCATATGTATATATATATAGATCACAACGATTGTCTACACGAAACATTTGTTTCTCGGAGACCTGTCGGCGATGTATCCTCGATGGCATGTCGCATGTAGGTCGATGTCTCCTCTTTTCCTGTTCTGCTTACGTACGCCAAGGAGGAGGGGGAGGAGACTGAGCCAGGCTCGGTCACAAGCAAAGGAAGTGCCACGAAGGCGGGCTCAAACTGGCGGCTCCCTCCTCCCTGATCCTTCATTTTCCTGCGACTTCCTCGTTCCGCGAGCAGTGCAGACGACGCTTATGATGATGGTGAGAACGAGGGTCAGGATTAGGACGAGGACGAGGAGTACGATGAGAACGAGGCCGCGGTCAACGGCGACGAGCAGACGTGCTCCCGCAGAGAGCGGAAGGAGGAGGGGAAGGACGGACGGCTCATGCCACCATCGCTTCTGTTTGTACCCCACGTGCTCGCTGTTTTCACCGTCGCCCTTCAAGGTGCCATGCGGCATCCCGAGGGGGTAGGGCTGCGCCTCATCGGAGACTCATACCGCCCGCAGCGTCAGCGTTTGGATCCACATGATGTCGGCGTGGATTCATCTTCCAGGGGCACATCGGCCGGAACTTGGTCATCTTCTGAGCCCACGCCCCCGCAATCTGATACGTTCGGGAGCTTTGGCTTACCGTGTCGCGTCGCCTGTTCTGGCCCACAACGCTTTGGTGCGACACGTTGTTCACTCTCCGGTCACCCGGCGTCAAAGCCCAGAGCTTCTCCCAGCCTGAAGAATCGCGGAGTGGTGCGACAAGCTTTCCGCTCGCAGGTCATAGCGTGTCGCCGGGCCCGCCGCAGCGACACCTACACGCTAAGCAAACGCTCTTGACTGCATTTAGGTGAAGGCTGGGGTTAGAGGGGATGTGTAGCGCCATCGCCGATCCTGGACAGGCAAATCTGGCTGGGGGAGGAGGGACGGGAGGCGGAGAGTATGAGAGGGAGGAGGAGGAGGAGGAGGAGGAGGAGGAGGAGGAGGAGAAGATGGAAGGAAGAGGAGGAGAAGGAGGTGGAAAAGAAGGAGGAGGAGAAGGAGGTGGAGGAGAAGGAGGACCCGTGTAAACCCAAGACTCATCAACGATGCTGGGATTCACCCTGCCTCCAATCTCCTTCTTCACAGACCCCATACAAGGGTTCGCTTCACTGAACACAGTTTCCCGTTCGGGGACAACCGTGTGAGCATCCCGAAGCGCGCTGGAGCACAGTTCTCAGGACTGCAACGCCCCGAGCCAACCCGACTGTGGAGTCTTGACGATCCTGCCAATCGGCGCCACCGTTCCTGGAATTCCAGCACCGCGAATCCACAGAACTGCTGCGTCCGGACAGTCCTGGATCGTGCGAGAACGCCGTTTCCGGAAGGCTAGCTACGAGACTCTCCATGCTGCTGCAACGTGTCAAGCCGAATGTGCGCGGCGCTGGTGCGACAGCCACATCTTAAGAAAAGAAGCCGCCCTCAGTCCGTGAAGCTCTAGCAAATGTTGAGAACGAGTATGCGCTGCGCTAAGAAGTAAGCCACGTTCGGAAAACGGCCCCCTGAAGTGTTATGTTCAAGGCGAGTGCGTGCGGCGCTGAGGCGAGAGCGCGAGAGCCACATGTTGAAAACGACCTGCCCTCAACCCGTGAAGTTCTTGCATTTGTAAATGGGAAACGAATGTGCGCGGCGCTCAGGCGCGAGCCACATGTTGAAAACGACCCGCGCTCAATCCGTGAACCTTTTGCAGTTTTCTCAAACAACAATAAAAAGAAAACATACTGTGCGCGGCGCTCAGGCGAGAGCCACAGTTTGAACGGACCCG